TATATATTTAATTTGATGTTTATTTTCTTTCAAGTAACTAAACAGTTTTTTAATGGTTTTAGTTTTAGTTAACAATAATAAACCTGCAAACTCATCAACCTACCTATATATATATATATATATATATATATATATATATATATGTGTATGTGTGTGTGTGTGTGTGTGTGTGTGTGTGTGTGTGTGTGTTTGTGTGTTTGTGTGTGTTTGTCTATATAGTTTTTAGTATTTTTATTTTATTTTTATTTTTAGTTATTTTAGTACTTCAAATTATTCTAAACAAAAATTAACAGAAATAATTGTTTTTAATTGATTTGGTTTCAGTTAACGTTTATTTCAAGCAACAACAACAATATATATATATATTAGTTAACAATAATAACCCTGCAAACTGGTTATTACCCTACCTGACAGATAACTTTCTAAAAACAATTTAATATCGATTATGGGTTAAATAATTACTTATAAAATTATAAAAAAATATTTTCTGTTTTCATTTTATCAACTTTTTGTTAAATTAACTTTTTGGTATTTTTTTTAAAGTGATATTCAGTGAATAACTACTTACATTTTGAACTGTTCCTCACACAAAGCTATGATGTAACTTCAAAAGAGTAGAATAGACTGGACTAGACTAGACGACTAGAATAGAATAGAATAACTTAGGCCTTTTATGGTTGTTTTTGGTGATTTCTGGACATTGACAGGTGTAGTCACAATAGAGTGAGTGATGAAAATTGTTCTAAATCCTTGTTGCGTTTCACAGAAAAATAACTGCAAATGTGGTTGTAATGAAATTACGGTAATACATAATGTCATAATGTCAAGTGTTGATTTAAAATGTGACAGTATGGGTAGAGTCGGGTGACGGGTCTGGTTTCCGGGCTGGGTTTACACTCTACTAGCCACTCACACACACATTACACTGAGAGACATGAAACACTTAACACACACAGACACTCACGGTTTGTGACTTCTTCTTCTTCTTCTTGATGGATCTGAAGAAGCCTTGTTTCTCCTTCTCTTTGGTGGGCTCTGAAGGGCTCATGTCCCGTGCCTCAGACCCCGTCCTCATCAAAGAAGACACACTTCATAAAACGCATGCGTACAATCTGACAGGGTTATTTTACTATCATTCATATTCTATTATATTATTAATATGTTTCGTTGTTTATTAATAGTTTTATTTTTTTTACATTTTTTTAACATTTTCTGTTTTCATTTTAATTTTAGTTTTAGTAATTCTGTTGTGTTTTTTTCTCATTTTAGTTTTTTTCCCCAAGTATTTCTACATAGTATTTAATTTTTATTTCAGTTTTAGTTTTAGTTATTTTAGTTCTTCGTGCTAAAATCATGAAAATTAGAAATGTTGCCTTGGTAACTAGCTGTAATAATTTTTTTTATATTTTATTGCAATTAACATATATTTTATTTCAATTATGGAACATGTTTTCAATGGTTTTAGCTTTAATTAACGAGAATTACCCAGCAAACTGGTCAACCTACCTGAGAGATTTTAATTCTCTAAAAACAATTTCATATTAAGGTTTATAATTAATTATAAAAATAATGATAAATACTTTCTGTTTTAATTTTTAAAGGGTTCATATTTTGACTAATCCAAATTTTTTTTATTGAAAATTAGATTTTCATTGAATAATTTAAATTTAAATTTTGAACCCTTTTATTTAATATTCAGACTAATTTCCTGTTTGTCACTTCCTGCTTGACTGTCAAAGCATTCAAGTGTCAGAAATGAATTTAAAAAGCCTTTATTGCATCGTGGCTATTAAAATAAATGATTCATGATTTGTTTATTCTATTTCATGTTATCACAGAAAAAATCAGGTTTGATTCAAATTACACTTTAGTGGAGCCAAATAATAGTTGCACATATAAAAGTATTTACAGTAGGTCAACAATAGAGTGTGTCTGTGCATCATCCTCACCACGGGTCGTATGTGGGTTGGTGTATGTTGTGGCTGCTGTCTATCGTGACTCCTGAACTCTCGTGGAACGAGTTATCGGGTCTGGGAGACGGCACTGGTCCAAACAGAAAAACATCAACATATTAATGAGATCAATGCGCTGAGATCAACCAGTGTCGAGGAAAGTGACCTTTACAAATAAAGTAACTTTTGCATTACTTCTCACTCGCTCTCTCTTCTAGAACAACAACAGCTTTGTTGCTTTTTATTCAAAGTGGAATTTGGGACTTTGTTTCGCTGTTTTCTGATTGTCCTTCCAACACAGTTTGCATGCAATGACTGCATCGCAGTTCTGTTGATTATAATGGGAGCAATTTAATTTGATTTGCATCGCGCCTGCAGTGTAGAGACTGTATCAAGCACTGCATGAACCAGGGAACAGATAACTTTTCAATTGCATTCATTAAAGAACAAATTAGACAACACAGAAATAAAATAAAACAAAATGGTATCATAATAAAACATTACTTTATTGTTGTTAATTATTATTTATCACGCATGCACCTACACTATGTGACTACGGTATGGGGAATGGAGAGGTTTTCTATTGCATTTGTTAATAAATAAATAAATTAGACAACACAGAAATAAAATAAAATATTAAATTAAGTTATTAATTAAATAAATTAACAAAATAACCCTGGTATTATGATAAAACGTTACTTTATTGTTGTGTATTTATTATTTATTGTGCATGAACTAGAGTATAGGGAACAGTTTTCAGTTGCTTTCGTTAATAAATAAATTATACAAAATAGAAATAAACTAAAACTAAATAATAAATTAAATTAAATTATAATTTAAATAAATTAAAGTAACAAAATAACTGTAGTATTATGATAACACATTACTTTATTGTTTTTTTTTTATTATGCATGCACCTACAGTACGTGACTACGTCGTGCGGAATGGAAAGGTGTTCAATTGCATTTGCTAATAAATAAATTAGACTACACAGAAATAAAATAAAATAAAATAAATTATAAATGAAAAAAGTAAATTAAAGGGGTTATATGATGTTGCTAAAAAGAACATTATTTGGTGTATTTGGTGTAATGAAATGTGTTTATGCGGTTTAAGGTTCAAAAAACACATTATTTTCCACATACTGTACATTATTGTTTCTCCTCTATGCCCCGCCTTTCTGTAACACGTCGATTTTTACAAAGCTCATCGGTCTGAAAAAGCGAGGTGTGCTGTGATTGGCCAGCTATCCAGTGCATTGTGATTGGCCGAATACCTCAAGCGTGTGACGAAAATGTTACGCCCCTACCATACTGTGATGCCTGCGGCAACCACATGTGATGACCCCGGGCCATGTGTTCAATACTACAGCGAGAAGCAACAATACTACAGCGGGAATAAAGTTACGCCTTCTTTCTTTGCGTGAACATTTGGGCGCCGTTATGCAAATCTTCCAACATAGTGACGTAGATATGTGGGGGCGTGTTAGAACGAGCCGTTTTAGGAGGGCGTGGCTGACTCTTAACTTTTATAAAGAATATCTCTTTGGATTTGAGACTTTAGTCTTTGCAACTTTACAGATCTTCTTTACGCACCAAGAGCTTGTAACACTCCAAAGAGAAAGGAAAAAATGAAATCGCATCATATGACCCCTTTAAGAAAATAATTCTGGTATTATTGTAACATATTACTTTATTGTTTATTTACAAATAACAATCAGATGACATGCATTTGTCTTGTAGCTCGTCACTTCCATCGCTGTCTATAACATTTGTTAAAACCAGAAGCATCATGTGCATAAGTGTGACGTGACTGACCCCTGTAGAAGCTCCCGACCCGTCGCGGCACCGACTCGCTGTACATCATGCGGTTCTCTTTGGCCGATCCGCTGTCATCTGCGAGCTGCTCGTGATAAACGCCTCCCTGCAGCATCAACATTTGTCACAGACATGTTTTCCAGCAGAAAAAGTGCTGAATGAAACACTGAGGACATTTCCCCTGTGTTTAAACTCCAAACAAAAGGAAACACAACATTGCCCCTAATTGTTATTATAATCAAATTTAACTTACAATATTTTACAATACATTTTTTGCAATGTATTACATTGTAGAACATAATGATTATATACACAATTATTATTATCATTATTATTAAAATATATAATTATACTTACATTTTATTTATATTTATATTTAGAATTAATTAACAATTTAAAGGCAGTACAACAACATGATATATAACTATTTTATAAATTAAAATAAATACTTTGTTGCAATATTAATTAGAAAGATTTGTTTGCATTTTGGTAATAAAATGTAGGGTGAAATTGTCATGTCAGTGGGATGATTAATTATGATAATAATAATTATTATTATTATTAAATTAATTAATAATAATTAATTTAAAATTAATTATAATAATAATTATTATTATTATTAATAATAATAAAAAATGTATAATAATAATAATTTCATTATTATTATTATATGAAAATAAGGCCATAGTAAAAAAAAATATATCATATAAAAAAACTAAGCACTTTTCCCACAATTTTCATTACCATACTGCATTTGGACAATTTTATTTGTAAATTATTTTATTTGCCATTATTCTCAATGGTGATTCTCATTATTGTAATACAAAATTATTGTAAAAATTTAATTTTAAATAAATCAACAAAGTACAACAAATGCTACATGATATTTAAATATTTAAATATTTTACAATTATATTAAAAATAATAATAATAATAAATAAAAAAAATATATATATATATACATATACATATACATACACACACACATATATGTAGGGTAAAGTGGGGGAAAACGCCCCCTTTAAGGACTGCGTAATTTTTTGTCTGTGAAACAAAAGTTAAATGTGTCCAGAATGGCTAACATAGTTTTGGTTACAATGACAATCCAAGTTTTAGTTACAATCCAAGTACGAAAAATGTCCAGAGTTTTCATCTTATTAGATTTTTTCCAAAAATTGTATTTGTAGCAAGGGGGCTTTTGGGTAAAATGCCCCCCAGTCTGACAAAGCAATTTGATTTAAACATTCACAACAAAATCAGAGTACAGGCAGTTTTAGCTTAAAATTAAAAAGAATATAATCAATGATTATGAATTACAAAATTATAATAGCCTATTTTAAAAACATTGTTAGTTGATGCTAACTGGCTAGCTAACTAGCTACCTGATGCTAACTAGAGATAATTTTTGAATATAAAGTCCAAATATTTTTATTCAACTAACTAGTTAGAATACATTTGATGGAAAAACAAAGGATTTGATGTTCAGGACAGAGTAACTACAGTAATTAATGCCCCCTGGGGGCATGTCATTCTGGAAATATAATAAATTTTTCTTAAAGGACACAAACTCCCTATCTACAGGCCTTACTATTCTCATATCATATATAACTGTGATGTTCTACAAAACAACAAGCTTTAAAACACTTTTTTCTTACTGCTGAAAATTAGGTCACTTACTGTGAAATCTGTTTTCTCTCAGGTTCATGTTGAATACTTCGACATCACTCTTGTCAATGTAGTCCATAGTTACAAATACATTTATCTTGACTATATCTAGTGGTTATTTTGGGGAAAACAGTAGAGGGTGTTTTACCCACTCTACCCCTATATATATACAGGGGTGTGAAAAAGTGTTGGCCCCCTTCCTGATTTCTTATTTTTTTGCATGTTTGTCACACTTTAATGTTTCAGATCATCAAACAAATTTAAATATTACAC